AAAAAAAAAAAAAAAAAAGAGTTGGCAGATTTATCACAGAACTTTTATGTAAGACCCTAGGATTACCTTATTATGACCAAAAATAGCCATTTCCCAGTGGGGGACATATATCAGTTGATTGGCTTTCTTTACTTAGAGGAAGTATACAATTAAGAATTAGAAAAATAATGTCAAGGTACATATAACACATACATGCACACATGTATATGTATGCATATATTTTGCAGTTGCATTTGTAAGTTTTGTTAACTTTTTTAAAAATCAAAATTTCTTTTTGTTAATTATTGTGATAGAGTATTTGTTCCTTTGCCTAATGAAAAAGAGAACCTAGTAAAATATTTGATTTTGTAACATTTAACTTTGTATTTAATTGAAAGATTTGTGATACTGCCTTGGATTTTAGAATATTGTTACAAAGACTTAAAAAAACTTTTCAAGTATATTATTATGAACAAAATTACTTTTTTGGGAAAGCTTAAACTAGTCCTTTTAATCCTCCTTTAAGTGTTTTTTCCCTTCAAAAAATTAAGTTTTCTCTTCCTTCTAGTCCATCCCATATTCAGGCAATCAGTTACAAAAAGTCCAAAATTTGAAAGTTTGGGTAACAGTGTAGAGAGCTGGTGGGAAAAAAATTAGGTCAAGGTGTTTTTTAAATCTTTAAAAATACTAAACTTCCAAACTAGATTTTAAAATGAGGATTACTTCAATATCTGTAATATTTTTCTTCTGTGTACTTTATTCTAAAGGCATGAAAGCTTATGAATTGTGCAGAGAGATTGCATTGCATTCTTTTCACAGTAATGTGAGGCAATCTAGTGATAAGACAGATGCACCCATGATAGGACAGAAAGTGAAAAATATTTATCTAATTGGGGTTTCAGGAGGAAGGTTAGATGACTGATTGTCATCAGCAAAAGTAAGGTTTGATTAAGTAACTACTGATTCTTCCCTTTTGCAAAAATATGCTGGAAGACTTAGTAGTGACTTTATTGTGGCAACTCTGTCTTTAACTTTCTGTATCACCTCACATGCCTGTGAAAATAACATAAAGTATGCTATTATAAAAAAAAAGCAAAGTATTACAAAAGCCCAATAGATTTAGATATAACTATCACAGATAAGATTTTTTATTTCATTTTGATAACAAAATATCCCTGTCCTGCCATGATTGCAACCTGGCAATGTATTGGCAGTTCAGGGCAGGTGGAGGAGGTGATGGGATGACTGCAGGCCAAATATTCCCCTGTGTAAAATGAAACTCTTAACTGGAAACTGAAAGTTAATTCAAACAATAGTGTGTTGATACTAAGCTGACTGGATAATAGGGGAGAAGATCACTTATAGAGAAAATGAGGGATGGGGAATGGGAGGAAAGAAGGAAAGTTCAAGTATCTGTGATACTGTATTTAATTTTAGAATATTGTTACAACCTTAGATGATGGGAGTCAGTATGTTGAAGGCTTGTGGTTTGGGGAGTGGGATACGAAAGTAGGTATTGAAAGCAAGAATCAGTGGTCATCTACTCAGATGTTAGAGTCACTGTGACCATGGCAGGAGTAGGATGGATAGGACTGTAGCCAAGTCTAAGTCTTCAGAGGATGTAGAGTCATGTTCCAGTGATGGTTTTTTTTAGTTGGCAAGGAACAAGCTTGCTTAAGCAACCTGAGGGAAGCTGGTTTTTCATATTTTCCTCAGGACTGGAATTGGAAAGGAGTCAGCAACTAACTTAGCCTTTCATAGGGTTCTTTGGTTTCTTGCTTCTCTCTGTAGTTCTGCTTTTTCTCTTTTCATTACCAGCTTCGTGCTCTGTATCCTTTCATCCTCATAGCTTCTGCCTAATTGTTATTATTTTTCTTACACTTTCTGCTTTTTCACAACTTAATATCACACACAACCTTCCTCTACCTTACACATCCTTTTAGCTTCAGGTCCCCCATTGATGGAGTCTTTTTCTTAGTGGTTCCTAGTTTTGATTTCCAAGGGGAGGGAATCTGACTGGACCACCTTATCTTTTGAAGCCTTGGTCAGACTTTGAGCCAGCTGTGCTCAACCCCCTACAGTTGTGGTGGTGGTAGAGGGTCTAGGGCATGACACATGGTAGCTTTAGACAACAGGGCTGATGGATTCAAGCAGTTAAGCAGTTTCCTTAGAAAGGGATGAAGTCGTCATGTACTATGATTGGCATCTCTAGTTTTATCAGTGACTGGGTATCTGGATGGTGGAAAGGGTAAAGGAGATGTGATACTGCTCCTGATGTGGACCTAACGCAAGCATAGGGGAAGGAAAACGTCTGCTAACGTTAGAATCATAATGGCCTAGAGTGGTCACAGGAAGTTAGAACAGTATCTTCTGGTCCCTGTGGTACGGAATCATGACAGTCCTTTGCCAAATAGCTACAACTGAAGCCATTTTCACAGCACAGAGCCACATTTGCTATAGCAACCACAAAATGAGTAGAGGGAACTCCTTGGAAGAGGTTAAGAGAAGTTTATTTACAATAGAAGAAGAGTTCAGAAGGCACAGTAAAAAGGTTATGAAAAAAGTCAGTAGTAGTATGAAGGGTTTGGATAAGGAATAATAATAAAATAATAATGGTAGTGGCAGCTAGCTTGTGAATACTTATTGTATCAGGCACTGTCCTAAGTTCTTTTTTTTTTTTTTTT